TCACTCTCTAAGAGGCTTGGTTTTTCATTTGTTTGTATGTTAGAATCAACCCAAACATTTTTAAAAGAAAACCTTTGTCTTTTCTGCCATGAAGAGATGGAGTTTTTGTCTAGTAAGGCAAATGCTCATAAAAAGATGATATTTAAATTATAGAGATTTTATAAATACTCAGAATTATCTTATGCCTTCTCATGCCTTCATCCTATTGGCTCTGACGCTAAAATATATGCTGAATCTATTCACCTTGGTCCATTTCCACAGCTACCATGCTACTTCAAGCTACCTTCATCTCTCAACTGGATGAGTCAGATTAACTCCTAAATGGTTTTCCCACTTCCCCTCTTGCATCTATAATTCATTCTCCACACACCAATTAGAATCATCTTTTCAAAATGTAAATCACTTCTCCACTTAAACTTTTGCAATGTCTTCACATTGAACTTAGAATAAAATCTTAACTCCTTATCATGTTCATAAGGCTGCCTCCCTCTCCAGGCAGCCTCAGATTGCACTTCCCTTGGGCAATATTCATCAGCCATTCTAGTCCCCTTTCTGATGCTCAAACACACCAAGTGCATTTGCATCTGAGGTACCTTGCACATGCCAGTTTTTCTATCCACAGTCCTGGCTTGCCTGGCCCCACAAAAATCATTCATGATTCAGCTCAAATGTTAATTCCTGAAAGATCTTTCCTAAAGTATATTCCAAAATGTTCCCCATTGTCTACCTTTTACTATATTTCCTTGTTTTATCATCTTCACAGCATTTATTCCAGTCTAACATTATCTATTTTTTTCTTGTCGATTACTTGTGTTGCATACAGGCCACATTCTAGACCATAAGACCATGAGATCAGTAACTTGCCTTTCTTGCTTATTTCTCTATCGTTCATATCTAGATCAATATTTGGCACAAAGGATGTACTCAGTAAATGTTTGTTGAACAAAAACAGAAAAGGATTAAGAAGCAAAATATCTATATTCCAGTCTAACATACTAAGAATGGAGGATAGTCCAAATAAGGCGCCATTCTTTCCTTTGTCCAAATGTAGTTAATTTCAATCCTGGATCAAACTGGACAGTGAAGATCTTCATACTCAGGCCACGCTGTTTTGATGTTACCTAAACCACATCCTGCCCCCTCCCACATGCCCCCTAAGCCCTCAAATAACATTAACTAAATTTTCTATTATTATGTTATCAATTTTATGTGTATTAATTGACATGTGGAATTTGCCTTTAAATTAATTTTAGGAATATT